ATAAGGGCAGAGAAGTTGATGTCATCTACATGGACTTGTGCAAAGTGTTTGACACTGTCCCACACGACATCCTTGTCTCTAAATTGGAGAGACATCAATTTGATGGATGGACCACTCGGTGGATAAAGAACTGGCTGGATGGCCGCACACAAAGAGTTGTGGTCAATGGCTCAATGTCCAGCTGGAGACCAGTAACGAGTGGTGTCCCTCAGGGATCGGTGTTGGGACCGGTCTTGTTTAACATCTTCGTCGCTGACATGGACAGTGGGATTGAGTGCGCCCTCAGCAAGTTTGCCGATGACACCAAGCTGTGTGGTTCAGTTGATACGCTGGAGGGAAGGAATGCCATCCAGAGGGACCTTGACACGCTTGTGAGGTGGGCTGATGCCAACCTCATGAAGTTTAACCATGCCAAGTGCAAGGTCCTACACCTGGGTCGGAGCAATCCCAGGCACAGCTACAGGCTGGGCAGAGAAGAGATTCAGAGCAGCCCTGTGGAGAAGGACTTGGGGGTGCTGGTTGATGAGAAAATGAACATGAGCCGGCTTCAGTGTGCGCTTGCAGCCCAGAAAGCCAACCGTATCCTGGGCTGCATCAAAAGGAGTGTGACCAGCAGGTTGAAGGAGAAGCTTGGAGAAGAGGAGGCTGTGTAGAGACCTCATAGCAGTCTTCCAGTATCTGAAGGGGAACTACAAGGACACCAGAGAGGGATTCCTCATCCGGGACTGTAGCAATAGGACAGCAAGGGGTAATGGATTTAAACTTAAAACCAGGGGAAGTTCAGGTTAGATATAAGGAAAAAGTTCTTCACTGTTAGGGTGATGAGGCGCTAGAAGAGATTGCCCAAATAAGTGGTAAATGCTCCATCCCTGGCAGTGTTCAAGGCCAGGTTGGACAGAGCCTTGGGTGACACGATAGTGTGAGGTGTCCCTGCCCATGGCAGAGGGGTTGGAACTTGATGATCTTAAGGTCCTTTTCAACCCTAACCAGTCTCTGATTCTATGATTCTGTTTTTATGAAGGTCATACATAAAGCACTCCGAACTACTACACCTTTAACTGAGGTCACTGAACTCCAAAGTTATAATCACTTTGGTTTAAATAATCTATGTAAAATACAGAGAAGAGTGAGGATTAGGCTACTGATTTTTTCCAAACCTTTGGATATCATTAAAACCTCATTCATTCCCTCCAGCACTCTCAGAATGGATATGTGTGTGTGTAGGATGTTTCACATTTTACAGTTTCTCCAGCTGACTCTTCAGGCAATTGCAGTAATGAACAGATTTATCCTGGAACACAGGCACTACATGTAACCTTCTCCAGTCTTTTATGACTTTCCCTGATCTCGTTAGTGCTCACAGTTAATCAACCCTGCTTCAAAGTGCTGCCCCTAGTTTGATGCTCAGTAGACCTGTGCCACTGACTATATGAAATGTATATTCATTATTTTTTTTTTCTGGTTGTTGCACAAATACTTACTTGAATGCATTCATTTCTGGCATGAGTAATCTTTCTCTGTGAGACAAAAAAGCAAAGATTGAACACTCTAACCTGGTGTGCATCGTCCATTAGCTGCTCTCCTGTAATAAATCACTTACCTTTGTTTATCCCTTTTTTCTAAGATATATTTAGACCAACTTCCTTTTTGCCTTTGATGTCTCTTGCTGGTCATAACTCATTCTGTCCATTTGCTTTTCTAAATTGATTCCTGTGTTCTTGTTCTCTGTATCTACTTGCAGACTCAGTTATGGTTAATCGACTTGTGGAGTTTCATTTTCTTAAAGAGAACTTGTTGCAGACTTACTGCTACACAGTTTTCTTACTGTTCCTCCTTCCTGTATAGAAAATTTGCTTCTTGGGTTTTAATGGTTTTAATGTATTTGCTTTCAGTTACTCTCAGCAGCCTTCATTCTTGGGAGACATTCTCAAGAGACATGTTGGTTCATTGACCTTTCAAAAGTCTGCGTTCTTCCTTATTCCAAGTCTTTTGTGCTTTTGTGCTTTAGCAACAAGTTAACTCCATTTGTCATTACCACTTTCAAATGAGCTACCTTCCCGTTCTGGATTTCCAGGCAGTTCATCCTTATTCAAAATCAGAAATAGCAGCCTGGCTTCCCTTAGTGACTTCCTCTATTTCCTGAGACAGAAGTTGATTTCATTGTGCTCAGCAAGCTCGATGGACTGGTGGGGGCCTACCAGTTTGCTTTTCCTACTGACAGGTAGCTGAGGTGTATCTGCACAGTAAAATACAGTGTTCTGAAAGAGCAAGCTGAGCTCAATCAGTGCAGCTGTCCTCTTACCTGAGCACGGAGAAGTTGCAATGAAATCTCTTGTTCACATTCCTTCTACTCCTGGCTGGCCTGTTCAGCTGCATGCCACCTTCACCAGCAGAGTATCTGCTCTCCAGGATGACTCTTACCTCTTTCTTGAGACTGATTTGTGCAGCTGCTTATTCAATTGACAACTGTTGATTAGATCTTAAGACCAAATAGTTCGTAGGGAACTCTTTCCTCTGAAATAATGGGCTTTTTGCATATCCAGGAATGGGACAGTGACTTCCTTCAAGGACACTCACTTCCAACTGGAAGAAAATTCATTGTAAATGCTTGGGTTTAGCCGCGTTTGTTGACAGGCTGAGTCATTTATTTAGGACTTCCACTCCACTTTTTAGCCCCTTAAATTCCTCTCCAGAGTGAACATTTGAAACCGTCTGTCCTTCCCACTGTTCATCCCTGTTAGTATCTTGGTAACCCTGTCTGAAAATCTTTTGGTCCCTCAGGGTCCCTGCTCAGTCTCTGGTCAACCCACTGCCCTTTTTGGCTGGCCTGGATAAATCTCCACACAGTGTGTTCAGAATTCTTGTGGTTGTCTTCACCTTCTGCAATCTCTCAGTCTCACACAGGTTCACCAGGGGTCAGTAGAGTTGAACAGAAATGCCAGGCACCGCTGCCACTGTAAGAGCTGTTGCACATCTCATACCAATGCTTCAGTGGAGGTTGAAGGCATTAATTCTGCGGACTGCACAAGCCATGTTTCCTCTGTCACAGAGAAATCCAGGTACCTGCCTCCCCAGGGAAAGTTCTGCCTGTTCTTGCAGACAGACAAAGCGTCATTCTGCTGGCCAGCTGTGTGGGCAGTCTGCTACCATAAATATTGTCTGCAAAATGTGCAAAGCTCAGCTTCATGTAGCTCTGACCTGTTACCACCTTGGTCCTTTATTTCACTTGCTTCACTAGGCCGAAGATTTTCACTGCCTTTTCCATTTAACCTCAGCTAAGGCCCATCAGCTGTAACCAATTCTATGGTTATCTACAGAGCAAAGACTTGCTGGGTGGTTACCAGCAATAATCTTCAGAACAGCCGTGTTATCAGTCAGCAGTTATGCATTGCAGTGTGGGGTGTTTCTTTCCTAGGATAATATTTTATCTCCTTTTCACCATTTGAATTCTCCCTATTCCACCTTTCAGAGGAGAATGTTTATAGGGACCATTTTGACAGCCATGGTGCCTTCTTGTCTTCTGCATCCAGCCTACTTGATCTTGTCATGGCATAATACCTGTCCCTCAGTTTTCCATCCTGCTGGCAAAAGAAAAGAGAAATAGGTGGAGGTGAGCTCCATTCACTAGATAACAAGAGATGCCCCTATCTTGTTGCCTGGGGTTACGTCACCCACAGAACTACAGTCCTCAGGTCTCCTGCAGGGACTCAATCCTGTTTACAAAGCTGGAAAGTGCCATAGAATCCTTAATTTTGCTTAATTGTACAAACTTTTAAGTACCCAATACATAAGCTAAGTCAACCAAATTGTTCAGTGGGAGTAGTACATAGTTCTCCTACTGATAACCTGTTTGCACATTTAGATAGACTTATTTGCATGCACAGCACAATATAGTATGACTCAATCTGTTGTTTGGTTTAAATCCTTAATGACTTGTGCCTTCATTCACAACCAGTAAAAGCAGTAGGACTGCCAGTCTGTAACATACCAAATCTGATCATTTAAGTGTGTTTGAATGGGAGCAAAGTCTTTGCAGGGAAGTACTGTCTATCAAAGCATTTATAACCTAGAATTACTACCACATTTTCAGTAACACAGTGATTTTCTTCTGCTTATTGTTTGGATAATCTCACAGACTTGGTTTTCCTTCTGAACTGCTACAAATTCAAGTGTACTTACATTCTTCTCGTATGTTTTCTCTGGCTGTTCTCTCTGAGATCTAAAGCAGGACCTTCTCTGGCTGCCAGATGCCCACTAAGCTGCTTTCTTACTCACCCTCCTGAAATGGGCAGTGGCCCCTCCCGATAAATAAGATGAAAATAAGATGGAAAAGGTCACGGGTTGAGATAAAGACAGGGAAACTGTTCACCAATTACTGTCATAGGTAAACCAGGCTTGACTTAAGGAAAATAATTTACTTTATTGCCAGTTAAAGAAAGAGTAGAATAGAGAGAAATAAAGATAAAACCAAAACCACCTTCCTCCCCACCTTCTTCACAGGCTCAACTTCACTCCTTCATTCACAGCTTTTCCACCTCCTTCCCCTAAGCAGTGCAGGGGGACAGGGAATGGTGGTTGCAGTCAGTCCACAATATTTTGCCTCTGCAACTCCTTCCTTTTCATGTTCTTCCCCTGCTCTAGTGTGGGTCCCCCACAGGGTCACAGGTCCTCCCAGAAAACCTGCTCCTGCATGTGGGCTCCTCTCCACAGGCCATTGCTCCTGCCAGGAGCCTGCTCCAGCACAGGCTCTCCACAGGCTGCAGCTTCCCATGGCATCCCACTGCTCCAGTGTGGGGTCCTCTCCATGCTTCATGTAGGCATCTGCTCCACCATGGATCTTCATGGACTGCAGGAGCACAGCCTACCTCACCATGTTCTTCTCTACAGGCTGCAGGAGAATCTTTGCTGTAGTGCCTGGAGCACCTCCTGCCTCCTTCACTGACCTTGGTATCTGCAGGGCACTTCTTCTCATGTTTTTCTCCTTCCTCTCTCACAGCTGCTCTGCAGTATTTTTTACCCGTTTATCAATATATTATCATAAAGTCCCCATGAACACAGCTGATGGGGCTCAGCTTTGCCCAGCAATGAGTCCGTTTTGGAGACAGCTGGCACTGGCATGACAGCAACCCCAGTCTCTTCTCACAGAGACCACTTGTGCAATGCCCCCACTACCAAAACCTTGCTACCTAAACCCAATAAAAGCAGTGAGATTATGTTTGAAATGTTCTGTAGGAGCTGAGGGTCCCCAATTACATGTTATATACTACTAAATGCCATAAGACCTGATATAAATTCTTCAGTGGAGGCATCCTTCCTTCTGCAATGTTTGAAGGCTCATGTTGGGCACTACCATAGCTATCTGTTGTAAGTCATTGTAATAACAATTAGATAAGTGAGTATATATAATCTGGAGGCTTATATTGTGAAATCCTGATTTCCTTGGAGAAAGCGGCCAGCTCCATAACCCAGCAGGATGTGGTGTTAGATAATAAAGCCACCATGAATACACCCCACCTTGAAATGACTAGAATTTAAATAATGTTAGAAGTTATTGATTAACCTGGGGTTGGGTAGGACTTAGCTGCTCTAGTAAAAGTTGACTGCCCCATCTGTATGCTTCCTTTATTGAAGAGCAGAAGAATTGCATCTTCCACACTCAGGATAAGCAAAAATGGGCAGTTCACATGTAAGTAGTTATTTAATTTGGATTGTCAAGAATGCAACAATTTGCTGGTTTTATTTTTGTCAATTTTCATTTTAAATGACATTAATACAGCTGCAAATGAAGATTTAAGCTCAAAATCTACTTTAAGTGTGGGTTGGAAACTTTTATGTAGCTGGTAGCATTGCTTAGCTGCAGTACATGAAACTTATTGTAACAAGTGCTTTAATGCTTATTGTGGCTTAGTTAAAAAGGGCAGCACTTTAATTTTGAGGTGAAGAGATGATGTGTATGATGTCATGGGAAGCCTAATCTTAGTTTAGCAAATTTATGTTGGAACATTCTGAACACTAAAATAATTCCCTAAAGATGTAGGAAAAACTTCCTGTCCCAAAGGCAAACACTTTCAAAATGTGGCTGTTTATCACTGAGTAGCAGGGAGAGGATTAATCTCAACTGCAGTGCTCACAGAAGGGCCTGATTAAAATCTGTGTGTCAGGATTTACTACATCAAATTAACTTGAGTTTCAACTGAGACAATTTTGGCTAATGTTTGGGCGTTTAATAATGGCTATCTAAATCTTCATAAAGATATTTAACCTCAAAACAACCTGATTGTCCAAAGTTTGTGTGTGGTAGCTGTGAATGATCTGTCCTTCTGAAAGTTAAGGAGCTTGTGCTGAACAAGTTGGGGGGGGGGGGTTAGCACCAATTTTTAAACCAATTAAAGGCAGTATTTATTCAGCAGCACATTTTCTCCTTGAATGCTGACAACCTGCAGTTTTACAGCATGTGTCAATAGAAGGCAGCCTGTTTGCTGATATAGGCTAATGTTACATTAGTTTCTCTAAGATTTGTATTATTACATGACTGTTTTTTTCATTCCAATTCAGCAAGGCCTTGAGAGATGCCAAGCATCTGCTGCTTTTGCACCAGCTCTCCAAGACATTTTCTTGGACACACTGAGCAAGAGACCCTATGCCATTTGCGTAAAGCTCCAGCTACTGAGCCAAGGAGCTTTCTGTCTCCCTGTGAAAGGGTGGGTGGTTCAATCCTTTTGTAGACTGTTTGCTTGCATAAGGGGAGAGAAGCAAGCAGCTCAGTCAACCTATCTTTGCATAGGAAACAAGGCCAAGGCGGCTTCTGCTGCTCAGCCCCGTGTATCAACATAAGCACACATTGTAGGGTTGTCAGCCGGCATCTCCTCTGATGCTGGAGTATAGTATAGTACACTGAATGAAGTGAAGAGCAAGCATACTCAATTCACGTTTAAACTAGCCACTTGAGGTCTCTCTATGTCAAAAGAGATCACAACACTGCATCTCAGGCAGGTTTAGCAGCTGTATGAGCTCCAAGCTGGCCTAGGTGGCCTGGATATAGGTGCAGTACATCAGAGTTGTGCTGTAGGCTTCAGTGCGAAGAAGTGTGAGCCCATGTTGATGAAAATGCCATGATTCAGCCCATGACTCATCTGGGAATTGCATCATTCTGCATTTGTCCCTAGGAAATTTCAGGTGACCTTGGAGAAATGCCTGCATCTGTATCAGAGAACTGCTTCTGGAACACCCTGAAGATACTAAGTTCTTAACAGAGCTTTTGAGCTGAAGTTTTTTTCTTTCTCCTAATGGCATGTTTTGCAACCACAGGTTCACAAGTGTCTTGTGTATTGTGTTTTTTAAACCTCCAGAGCAAGTCTTACAATCTCTCAGAGGATATACGGAAAACAACCATAGGGACTACCAGTTTGTCAGCAGATGAGCCAGTAAGAACTTCTCTCATGAAGGATGAAAGGGGCACAGTGGTGTTGCAGCATCTGTTGCTGTGGTTGATGGTGGCTTTGGGACACACTGCAGTGCGCATAGGCAGCTCCTCTTTCGTGATCAATACTGGCACTAGAGAGCTGGGTAAAACTGGGTGGTTTCATTTGGTTGAATATTGCATCTTTTCCAAAATTGTCTGCTTTCAAATTTCAGAAATGAGATTTTTTTAATAGCCCAAATTCTGCTGTGAGAAATATAAAATGAAGCAAACCAGTATTTTACTTGGTTAAATGGATTTAGGCTTTAAACTTTCTTTTATTTTAAAACATCATTGTCAAATGAAGTTTTCACTGAAAGCTAAGCATTGTTCAAAGAAAAGTTTCCATTACGGGGATGTTTAAATGGAACTTTTCACTTTTTGATATGTCATTGAGACATATCAAAATGTCTCATTTTAAAATGGAGCTTTCACCGAAATTAATATCTCTGTGAACATGGTAATTTGAACCAAAGTATAAAATTTTACTGAAAAAAAAATGCTTTCAACAAAAGATTTCCAACCAGCTCCAAAATGTACCTTTCTCTTAAAAACTGAGCTCGCAATTAAGAGGTGTAACTGATGCAACATTACCACTCCTGCGTATTTCCACATGCTTTTTGCTCTCTGAACTCGATCCGGTGGCTTTTTTCCACAATCAACGTTTTTGAGTGCACATCCTTAGAGATTTAAAGTCTGTAGTTACCTTCTCTGTTTGCAGTCTTGCATCAAGCTTACCTGTACTTCTGCTGTCTTCAAATTACCCCAGGCAGAATCAATCCACCTGAAAATCTGGGTAGCTGCTCTGCTGTAACTGAGGTGCTTTGGGGACATTTTGGCAACAGCAACAGTGATTTTGATGATGTGGTGGTCTGAAAAGTTTGATGGATTTTGACATTTTGTCCATTTGTATAATTGTTTTTTAATCTTCTGTCTCTGAAGAATCCAAGAAGACTCTTCATGCATTATTCTGTTGTGCTCTGTGATGTTTGTGATTTGAATGAAGCTGGGGGGGTGGGCAAGTTTTTTGGTTTTAATTTAAACCACTATTTCAGATTCTCTGGGATTCTCTTATGTTGTACCTTCTCATTGTAAAGCAGCCCAAACCTTCTGCCAGGGAGGACTCTATAATGTAAGAAGGGGGTGGCAGGTTGTTGTGAGCCAGAGTTTGAGAACTTGAAGGTGAAAAAGTAAGTATAACAGGGAATCATAGAATCACAGAATGGTTTGGGTTGGAAATGAGCTTAAGGATCATCTAGTTCCACCCCCTCTGCTGTGGGCAGGGACACCTTGCACTAGACCTGGTTGCTCCAAGCCCTGTCCAGCCTGGCCTTGAACGCTGCCAGGGATGGGGCAGCCATAACTTCCTTAGGTGACTTCTGCCAGTGCCTCACCACTCTCACAGTAAAGAACTTCTTCCTTATATCTAACCTAAGTCTCCCCTGTTTAAGTTTAAACCCATTACCCCTTGTTCTGTTGCTACAGTCCCTGGTGAAAAATCTCTCTCCACCATCCTTGTAGGCCTCCTTCAGATACAGGAAGGCTGCTATGAGATATAACCTGAAGAACATATCTGCTTCTTAGGCATAGGCTCACAAACACCGCAAGGACCTCTGTGTTGGCTATGGACATTTCTATCCTTGTAGAAATGTTTCCTTAGTACAAGTATAATTTACCACAGTGTGATTTTATTCTCTCAAAGCTCAACAATTGCTATTTGTTACTTCACTGGGCAAACCAATTATTCAGTGACAGTGGATTCTTGTTCAAGTCCCTGGCCACAAGCTCACAGTCTGCAGAAGACAGAAACACCTTCTTGTTCAAAGCACTGGGGAAAACTGAACAAGTCAGAAAATGCCAGTTTCCAACCATTTTAGTTATCATTATTCCTAATGGCCCAGGATACAAAGTGTTTTCCAATCAGGCATTATAGTCAATAAAATAAAAGTAGACAAGTCGACCCCCGGTGTAACAGAGAATTATTCCAGACGTGAAATTCTAGATTTGTCCTAGGTGAATAAAGCCATTTTTTGTCACTTCTGTTTTTCTGATTCTGTTTGCAAGACAAGTACTAAAAGGACTTGACTCATGTTTAAACACAGGCATGGTATCTCTGGAGATTTCTGGCATCCTTTTGTGCCTCTGCTTCAGCTGCCGCACCAGGGGAGTCAGGTCCGTCAGCCCTGTGTTGCCTCTGCCAGCCCCATGCAGATGCCAGGTGCTCTGGCACATCTCAAAGGTGTCTGTATTTAAGCATCCGGATTAAGCCCCCTGGAAGTAAAAGCTTCAGTTCTGCAACTTCAGCATTCCCACTGCATGTTACCTTGGTAGCTAACTCTGATTTTAAAAGTAACCTGTGTTGAGGAGTTCCAGCAGCCACAGGAAGGTTTGAACACATTAAAACTGGCCAGTGTCAAATTCAGCCATGAGAGAACTGCCCCACCCCAGCTTATTTTTTTCTCTTAATTGTGGACTTCTCTATCATGTTGATTAGCGTGAATAAATGGAATGCATAAAAAATTAGCCATAAGGTATTATGAGGTGGTATTTTAACAGGTACTTGGAAACAGGAGGAGCATTGTGGGAGAGAGGTGGGTTTAATTTTGCCATTTGAGTAACTGTCAGAGCAATTACCTTCATTGTTGCCACTTGTTTGTAATGGGAAAAAGTAAATGCTGCTAATTCTATTAGGATCTTGTTGTCACTGTAGTTTAATCTCAGATGTAGAAAATAAGGTTAGTTGCAGACCTCCATTTGGAAAGAGTCACTGAGTCATTGGAAAGGCTGTTGAATAATAAAGTCTGATCTACATGACTTACATATATTCTATTATCCAGTATTGACTTCATATAGAAATTGGTTTATTCCTCATAGCAACAAACTCACCCAACAGTACATGTTGCTGTTGTACAGCTGTTAGACCTAAAACAGCAGTGAGGATCTGGGAGAGTGGCAGCCTGCCTGGCAGATGGCAGCTGGCATTCAGAGACACTGATAGCATTCTCTGAGCAGTTAAAGAGCCACATGGCAATTTTCCAGGTACATATTGTATTTGACTGGGAAATTTACCTGAGCAGACAAAAATGACAGGTATGTTCTACAAAACAACAAAGGAAGGAACGGTGTGGTCGAAAGGACACACACAGTCCTTAAGGTAGCATTTGCCAATTGATATACATCAAATAGGTGTTTAGCAATCCCACCTTTTTATTACCATGGAACAAACCCTGGTGCTTGCTGATACTGCCCTGTTGCCAACATGCCACAGCTGTTTGCTTCTGTTTGATTTTAAATCTTAGTGCCCATCTACCCTGACCTGTGTGCTAAAAGCCTTTACATTTCACATAAATTCCTACCTGAATAATTGCACCCAACTGTTTGAATTTCACTGAAGAACTTGTAGAACATCTTTCTCTGATGCAAGGATGATAGGAGACAGTGAACCCACCATTATCTAATGACAGATACCCTCACCCCTGAGCAGCCTTTCCCAGTTAGATGACACCTGACCTTGTGTAGTAGTAATTGTTGTTTCTTTTAGTTCTCCACTGTATTAAAGAGCTCTGATACTTAGAAGCCTTTCTCATGAAATTACCTATACACCAAAATGAAATGGCCTTTGTCTGCTTTTCTGCCCTTTCTGATTGATGGTCTGGAGCTTTATGAACAAGTCACCCTTGTATCTCCAAGGAGCATTTGTACTCCTGTGCCAAGCTGGCTATCACAGCCAAGAACAGGGCCTTACTGCATGGAAGGTAGCCACAAGTCACAGGGCCCATTGCCAGCGTGTCTCAGGGCCCTTGTTCGTCCCATGGCAAAGCCAGAAGCTCCCAGCTGAGGGGCAATCCTCTGCCTCCAGGAGTTCTTCCGCCCTCAGCTCTGAGGTGTGTGACGTCTCCAGGCTCTTTGCCATGGGTGAGGGAGATACGCTGCTTGTCAGACAGGTTGCCTCTTTCAGCTGAAGATGTTTTTCCTCCTCTCTGTTGATGTTCCTTCCAGTCTCAACTGCATTTTTAACTGACATAAGCAGGAAGATGTATTTTCTATTGGGAATGCATAGGTTTAGAGTAGGGTGACATTATCTAAGAATAATAAACCTTATGTAGGGGTTGGAGGCTGTGACAATGCTTGTTGTACTTTCTGCTATGATCCAAAAATTGGCCCAGTTCAAAGGGGCCTAAGGTGTAGAAGAATCTTTATGACTGACAATGTCTGATTTAGTAAATCAGGCTATTGAAGTACAAACCTAGCACCACGCTTTCAGTCCATCTTTGAAAGTAGATCAGAATTAAAATACAGCAGCCTACTCCCATGTTTGTTCTTATGTTTTATTCTTAACACACGGAAATGCTTAAAAATGAGTGATGAGATTTGGGCTGTGATTAGGACTATCCCTTTGGGTGAGAGTTCAGAGTTTGTTCTGCTATCAGGATGTTACCCCGACAATGTGCAATACACCAGAAGACTAAAAACACAAGATCTAAGACAGTATTCTCCCTTTTTCTTTTCCTGCCCAGTACTGTTAGCCTAGTTAACCTTGGATGCCAGTTGCATTATGCTTCATTACAGGCTTCTGCCAAGACAAACAGTTCATTCTGAGTGTACTGATAAAAAATTAATCATGTGGGTGTTCATTTGCCAAAAGCTGTCTTCTGTGATCCTGGTATATTAAATACAATTTAACTAACGAGATGAGCACTCCAGTCCCATAGTTTATTATGCTAACAAGGTAACTACCTGGTTTGGTACCTTTCTTGGTAGACAGAGAGAATAAATCTTCTACACACAAAAGAGAAATAGAGAAAATCCTAGAATTGGAAGGCACCTTGAGATGTCAGCTCACTTATTCATTGCCTACAGCCAGATCAGCTCTGCCTAAACCAGTCCTGACGGCGCTAGCAGTGCTGAGGGGGAGGAGAACTGGTTCATTACTTGGAGAGGAGGTTCCCCGAAGGTCTCTGAGCT